TTGAAATTCAAAGACTGTGCGTGCCCAGAGGCATGTACACAACTGCAGTTAAGGAAGCTACAAAATGGAAATAAGAGAATTCAGGAAGTAAATTCCACTCTTCCCTAGATGGGAAGCTAGAGGCAGTGGCTTATGCAAGTAAGTGTATTGCTGCTGCTTCCAGAGGGTGGCTGGATGAGATGATGTCTCTTGGAAGCTGTTCCAGTGGGTCACTTAAAGTAAAACTCCAGCAGGGAAGTGCCAGTCTGGGATCCTGAGGATGTTGTGGGCCTGTGACTCTCTAAACTGGTTTGCAGAGCACAAGTTCTGCGTACGCTGGCAAGCTGTAACCCTGTGGATGCGGTCAAACGGCAGATGGGATGGCGGGAACTCCAGAAAGGAGCTCGTTTTGAAAGGGAGAGACTAATTGAAGTGGGTAAATAGCAGGAGCTCTTTGGATCAAGATGCCACGATAGGGGGTCTGTGATATTAAAATAGCTCTTCTATAGCTTTCAGATTAGCTAACAAGAAGATGGATTTTATTTATCAAAGCCAACAGGTTACTCACTGGGTACACAAAGATTCTGAGCATAAAAAAGAACAGATGGAGCAAATACTGGGTATAACAGATCAGCTGTTGCTGGAACATGAAGAGGTCTAAACAATTTTTATTTTTCTTTTTTTTAAAGAAAAAAAGTGTGAATTAAAGGGATATGATTTACTTGCTGTGGAATAATTTCAAGATTTCCTGGAATGGATTGAGGAATGTCTAGCTACAGGAAAACTCTCTTCCTTGTCTGTAGTGCAGGTGTTGCTGTGGGACTGCTAACACTACGGTGTGTTCCTTTCCACACCTTTCCTCTGAGCAAAACACTCCCTCAGCCTGGTGTTCTGCAGGGAGGACTCGGCTGTCCTCTGAGGCTCTTCCAGAGACAGGAACCTTGAGTCACACGGGTTGGTGTTGCACCATCGCTGCTGTTATTCTCTCTGCTGCTTAACACACAAGAGGACGTTGTCTCACAGCTGAAGAATTGTTTAATACACTTTTAAACTGCTGCCTCCTGAAACCTCAGTCATTCCTCAGTTTCGCCCTTTCATCTTAAAAGTCATTGTCAGAATTCATATTCCTCATGCTGTGTTACCACCTGATTGCACAGCTACGTAGTGCATCGGGTATAAGGTACCTCTTGGTGAAGGTTCTTGAACGCTTCCTGAGCTGGTCAATGTGTGAATATGCTTCAGGATTTGCTTTCTACCCCTGGGCAGAATCTGCGCAGCGTACTCACTTTCCTTTTGGCTGACTTAACTGTAAGCCCCAGTTCAAACTGGGAGTCTGGGAATTCATGTAGTTCGGCCGCTCTAACAGCGGGGATGGGAAGTGGGGAAATGGCTTCTGGTCCCGTTTCGGTGGTGGCCCGGCTGTCCTTGGGGCTGGTGGAGGCAGCCCGTAGCCGGGGTGGTGCTTTGGGGTAGGGCAGCCCGTTATTTGCCAGGCACTTTCACGTGCCTGAGATACCAGTTCTGTGTCTGCTACAAACACGCAAAGTGGCTGTTATTAGTTACACTGATTTATTTTTTTATGCATAGTTTCTGCATTCCCTGTTAAGTTAAATATAAGCAAGGAAACGTCCTGCTGATCAGCCTGCATAACCACATCACTGTTTTCCCCCAGAAATGAGCTCGGTTTAGTGTCCTAGTTCCTGCGTAGGTCAGAAATCGAGACACTGTCGATGCTATTTCATGGTGACTGTGCCATAAAGTGGTACCACACTGATGTGGACCAAAAAAAGCATGATGTGACTCCATCAGTTGCTTGTGGTGGACTGTTCATGGGCTGGAGGATGACCTGGGTGGGTTTAGCCTTGACTGGGTTTAAGAGTCCCTAACCCTTCCCTAACCCCAGTCACCCGGCAGCTCCTGCTGCCGCTGGGGCTCCGGAGGCGTTTGCTCTTTGGCGCTGTTAATGGAAGTGCGGTTGTTCAGGCCTAGAGGAAGGGTGACTGGGGATCTCGGTGGACCAGGACTACGCGATTTCTGGGCCGTCTAAGTGCTGCTCACAAGCTTGCTCTGACTGCAGACGGGTGATCATGGCTGTACGTGCTTTCTGTGCGGCCTGGCGTTGGCTGAGGATGGTTCCTGGGTTTGGGCCATGCAGAGGAGGGGATGCTAATGCTACAGGGCCTCTCCTAACCTAACCGGGTAGTACCTTCCGTTGGAGCGGGAGGGTGGTGATGACCTGCTGCTTGGACAGACCCTAAATTAAGCTGTCAGGAGGAAAAGCTCCAAAAAGGCCACTTGTGCTTCTGAAACTAAAGTA